GGAATACTTTTATAAGTCTGGAAAATTACAAAAATGTTTCTTTTTTTTTTTACACAGTTGGCACTTAAATTATATATATTGCTCATGCAAGCAATGGGTATATGTGGACTTACACCCCAAAATACATTCTGCTACTTCTACCGAGTATGGAGATACCACGTGTGTGGGACTTTTTGGAAGCCTAGCCTCATACAGGAGCCTGAAATCCAATGACCACTTAGAAATTCTGAAGGTGCTTAACTTCCTTATTTCCTTTCCTGACTACCTGTCACAGTTTCTGAGGCCCTGAAATGCCAGGACAGCACCAACCCCCCCCCCCCCCCCCCACATGACCCCTTTTAATAAGAGGCATGGTGAGTATTTTGCAGATCTAATTTTTTTTCTCACAAGGTTTTATGTTTTCGTATTCTTCATTTACCTAAATCTTCTGGCAACAAATGAGATTTGCAAACTACTCACCATGCTTCTTATCAAATTACTTGGGGTGTCTACTTTCCAAAACAGGGTAATTTTAGGAAGGGGGGGTGGCACTATTGTGGCATTTCAGGGCCTCTGAAACTGTGATAGGTGATCAGGAAGTGTAATGAGGAAATAAAGCCCTTTAAAACCTGAAGGTGCTTATTGGATTTTGGGGTCCTGTACATGGCTAGACTGCCAAAAAGTCTCACTCATGTGGTATCTCTATACTCAGGAGAAGTAGCAGAATGTATTTTGGGGAGTAATTCCAAATATACCCATGGCTGGTGTAAGCAGTATATGATTTAATTGACAACTTTTGTGTAAAAAAAAAAAAAAAACAATATTCCCAAAAACTCGTGGTGAAAAAATAATTTCTTCTATTGACTCAGCATACCTAGCATTAGAAGTTTCTGCCATACATCACTCACTCCTCTAACTACCTGAAGACCAAGCCTTTTCTGACACTTTGTTCACATGAAAAAAATCTGTATTTTTTGCTCGGAAATTACTTTGAACCCTCAAACATATATATTTTTTTAAAGCAGACACCCTAGTGAATAAAATGGTGGGTACTGCAATTTGTCACATAGCAAATTTAAAGAAAATAATTTTTTTTTTTTTTTTTTTACCTTTTTTTTAACTGCACAAAAACACAAATTTTGTGAAATATAGAAGATGATGGTATATTGAGTAAATAGATACCGTACATGATACGTGGTTAAAACTGCACACCCCGTGCAATGGCGACAAACTGCATACATTTTTAATAACCAGATGCGACACTTTAAAAGCCTTTACAGTCTACCATTTTAGATTTACACAGGAGGTGTAATGCTAGAATTACTGCCCTCGATCTGACATTTGTGGCCATACCTCAGATGCATGGTGCAACCGCTGTTTACATACCGACAGGGGGCAAACGCTTGCGCACTCAGTTGCGTGCGAGGGGGCGCAAGGGTGCTTTAATTTTTATTTATTTTTTTAAATTATTTTACACTGTCCCTTTTCATTTTTTTTAGCACTTTTATTGTCATCACAGGGAATGTAAATATCCCCTGTGACCGAAATAAGCATTGACCGATATTCTTTTCTGAGAAATCTGGGGTCTATTAGCCTCTATATATCTCCTCTGATCTCGCCAAGAGAGGTTTGGTCAGATGCTTTCCCAATTTAAAATGGCGCTGTTTATATCCTGCCAAACTGAAGTGATGAAATGCTCATAGCTTCTGGTTTCTTAGACTATAGAGTCAGCTCTATGGTCAGTTGGCAGAAACAATGGCTGCATTCTCAGGTTTCCCTTATGGCACGGGACTGCTCGAGAAAGCCGTGGAAGGCAGCGGGGGGAGGGCGAGCACCCTTCTTCTGCTGCTGCTTGTAAAAGCAATCCTGCAGCTAATTGGCCACTAGGAATGCTTTTACATGAAAGTCTATTGCCGGCTGAAAAAAAAACGGTACAAGTATCAGACGTCTGCAGCTGCATGCATCATCCTGATGTAACCACTCAAAGTCCAGTGATGTACTTGTTCTTTTTGTTCAGCCCATGGGCCCAGCTGATTCCTCTATTCACATAGATATGGTGTGGATGAAGAAATCTGCCAAAATTCAAAAAAAAAAAAAAAAAAAATTTGCCGAAGCATAGGGGCAATCCAAACACTGGTCACCCCAGGCCCCCATGCTTGTGCACATATGCTTTTCTTTTTTTTTTTGGCTTTTTTTTGTTTTTAACTGCAAATGAAAAATCTCATCCAACAGTGCTGCACACACTTATGTATATTCTGAGGGCAAGACCCTCTTAAAGTCAGAATGAACAGGTCGGTGATGCAGCTGAATGGCATTCCTGCAAAGGAAAACCGCAATGGTTAACAATAAAAACAGTAACTCAACAACAATAAAACAACTTTTTTTTTTTTTTTTTTTTTTTTTTTTACTTATGTTTTTTTTTTTTTTTTTAATTTTATTTATTAACTTCAAGATGGTAGGGTCTCTTAAAATGCCAATTTCCTGACTACCTAACATCTTTCGAGACTCTGTGCATATATGTTCTCTGGACTGTGCCGTGCTGTACCCGATTAATCCACCCATGTATGGTAGTGACAGCGGCAGCCCTTGAGGCAGAGACCAGTTTGGCCAGAACAGGAGGGACAAAAAAAAGTGGATGTCACGTCTAATTCTGTGTCTGCTACAGACACAACAGCTTTTTTGGGGTGCCTTTTTGAGATTTTTTTTTTTTTTTTTTTTGAGAAGGGGTTAACTAGGGGGGCAATCAGGGGGTTAAATTTGACCTAGCTGTGCTTTTACTGTAAAAGTGTGCTGCTTTTATTCACATAGATCTTCTTTCTTCTCTCTCTAGAAAGGAATGTGTCCCAGGGAGAGAAGATTGTGTCATTTCCTGTACCTGTGTTCTGTAAGCCCAGGTACAGGAAGATCTCTGATAGGGCAGTGATCAATCAGCAAATCCAGGCCGAACATCACTGGTCTGAATCTGCTGATTGATTGGTGCAGCACCGAGTCACGGCGGGAGCATGGAGTGTGTGTGTTTTTTATATATAATGTGATAGGGCAGAGTTAAAGTGGTTTACTAATGATGGGATAATCGTGCAAGAAATATAGTAACAAAAGAAATGAACATGAGCGGTGACCTGGAAAGAAGAGAAGATTCCCAGCCATGAAAATGTATTTTCTGTAGCAACATGAGGTGAAATTTGAAGGCTTGGTTGGTCTAACTTTAAAATCAATGGTGGCATCATGGGATTACAAAACACACAAAATTGTTGATTTTCTAAAGCAAATTTGTTCAGAATTTGACCCATATATGGCCTGCATTACTGGCTTCTCTCACCAGCAAGTGATGAAGCTTTCTAAGAAATACAGGGAGGGCTGGCAAGGCTCTGTTCAATGATGCCAATGGGAACTTACCTGAGAGGCAAAAACTGCTGATTGCTGAAGGAACCTATAGCAAGCTCTAGAGGAACCCTAAGGTTCCACTTAACCCTGGTTGAGAAACCCTGCTATAGATGGATATGCTTTGTTCATATTTCACATCTGAGCCTTACAAGCATTTTAAAGTGGTTCTGAAGGCTGAAGTTTTTTTTTTTTTTTTTTACCTTCATGCACTTTCTCCCTCCATTTGGCTCCCGCTGCTGTCAATCACAGTCAGTGAGGAAGGGGCAGGGCTAAGCTGCACTCCATAAGATACAGAGGCAGCTGAGGAGCGAGCACACACAAGTACCCTCATAGCAAGCGGGGCGGGGGGCTGGGGTGCCTGTGCAGAATCCGAGAAGAGGAGGATTGGGGCTACCCAGTGCAACAGTGCAGGTAAATATAACCGGTTTATTTAAAAAAAAAAAAAAATCACTTTAATGTTAGGACGAACCTTGCAATAACTTAGTGACAATGTCATTACTTTCCCATTCATGTTAAATACCTACTAATAGCCCCTTTTCCCTAGCAAGGTATACTTTTCTATTTTCTCTCCCTGGCCTCCTTCCTACTCAATCCACAAGCCCCTGTGAATAGGAAAATGCCACATAAACTGTATGGTCTCTACATGTTTTTTTTTATCTTCTAATGTAGAAACCTCATTTTGTGTGTAATGTACAAAAACATAGTGCTACTAAAATGTGTTGACTTGAGGCTGTTTAACTGCTGCAATCTATTACATGAAATGTCAGCAGGGGTCTTGCTATTAAAAGCTGTGATTCGGTTGTAATGGTATCTGCATCTAGTAGCTGAATGTTACCTTAGAATGCTGGTAACTCTTGTCCCAGTTGGATCATGCTGATTTGCAGTAGTGAAGTAGAGTTTGTGTTTTCCTATGCAGCCTTGGACTCCTAATGTGGGACCTGGCCGAGTGCTCGTGAGGGCGTGGATAGGAGCCAGCAGCCGTCCCAGCCAAGAGGAGAAATCTCTTTGTTTCCTGGCATCTCCCTTGCTGTTTCAGTTTTTTTTTTTTTTTTTTTTTCTTTTCTTCTTCTGATTTTCCATTTCCATTGTAACCCTTTTTCAGCCCTCATTGGCTATAAATATGGTGTAACAGTATCCGTTTCTAACCTTTTGTCATGTCTTGGTCTCCCAAGTATCTGGCTTCTAGTATTGATAATCAGTGTACACAAAAATATTGAATTAAGCTGGAAAAGGACCTATTCAATCTGACATTAATCTTGATAAAAGTGTGTAGAAATGAGAGCAGCTCTACAATTGCATTTACAGGCGTCATACAAACAGGCTTTCTATATTAACCTATTTTTGCTGATTCAATATTAACCACTTGCTTACAGGGCACTTATACCCCCCTTCCTGCCCAGGCCAGTTTTCAGCTTTCAGCGCTGTAGCACTTTGAATGACAATTGCGCGGTCATGCAACACTGTACCCATATGACATTTTTATATTTTTTTTTGAGACAGAGCTTTCTTTTGGTGGTAATCACCTCTGGGTTTTTTTATTTTTTGCTAAACAAACCAAAAACAACTGAAAAGTTTGAAAAAAAAAAGTTTTTTTCTTCGTTTTTGTTATAAAATTTTGTAAATAAGTGATTTTTCTCCTTCACTGATGTGCGCTATAGAGGCTGCAGTGATGGGCACTGATAGGTGGCACTGATGGGGAGGCACTAGTAGGTGGCACTGATGGGCATTGACAGGCATCACTGATGGGCACTGAAAGTCTGCACTCATGGCACTGTTGGGTGGCACTAACTGGCACTATTGGGCGGCACTGATAGGCAGCACTGACTGGCACGGATAGGCCGCACTGATTGGCGGCACTGATAGCTGGCACTGACTGGCATTGATAGGCGGCACTGACTGGCATTGATAGGTGACACTGAGGCAGCTCAGATGGGCACTGATATGTGGCACTGATGAGCACTGGCAGGTGGCACTGATGGGCACTGACAGGTGGCACTGCTGGGGCTACACTGATCATCAGTGCCCTGATGATCAGTGTACATGTCCCCTCCGAGGAATGCCGATTTTTACCGGCTCTCCTCTCGAGCTGTCGGCGTGACAGCTCATGAGGAGAGAAATGCCGATAACCGGCATTTCCCTATATACATGCGTTCTGCTGTGATTGGGCACAGCTGATCACATGACCGAGCTGACATCTTTTGGCTCTTTCCGTTGATTGGTGATCCGCTGTGTCTGAGGGACACAGCACACCACTGATCGCCGCGGTCCCGGAGCCACGCACGCTTGGTCATTAACTTATATGGCGGGCGGGAGATGGTTAACCTTCTGTAGAAGTTTTGTCTGTTGAAGGAACCCTTTCACAAGGGTGTTATGTTTTTGTTTTGTTTTTTTCCATCACTTCAGTCACGTTTTTTCCTACAAAAAAAAGTATCGGTTCACATAATTTTTTCATCAGTTCATGTCAGTTGTTTGTCAATTTTCGTCCGTTTACATCTGTTTTTTGTCCGTTCCGTTTTTTCTTAAAAAAAAATAAAAAATCTGGATGTTAACGGATGCTGCCATTAACGGGTGTAAATAGATGGTCATCTGTTTACATCTGCTAGTCCATAGAAATACATGGGTGACTGGTTTTCATCTGTAAACGGACAGATAAAAACCGGACATGCAGATCGCCCATGTGAAAGGGTCCATATGGTCATTATAATCTGGTACATCCAGGTATTAGCTGACTATTGTGGGATGTTTAGATTTCACATTAGATATTGAAGTCCGTCCTCTGCCTTGCTATTTTCTTGCAATATGCATGCTTTCAGGCTAGACTCACATTTGTGCATGTGTAATTTCGTGAGATTTTATGCACTTTTCATGTACGCCTAATGAAGTCTATTGGACCAACAAACGCTGGAACCTTTTTTCCAAGTCACACGGAAGAGTGTTGCATAGATCTGAACATGCCCTATAAACAATAATGGGAATTGTCAATAGACAATATTAGAAATAGAAAATAATGGGAATAATGAGGAATCTTGTTGTGTGACGGCTGAAGTGTAACACATTGCACAGGTGTGAATGGGAAAGTAGAAAAACATTCTTTTCAAAACTCTTTTGGGCTCTTATTAGGGCTGCTTGGTAAAGCCCGCATGGTAAAATGCATCATCTCTCTGTGTGAAATTCAGCAGGGAGCGGTGTGATGAATGTTTTAAGTACATCACACATTTTTATTTTCTCTTAGATTGTAAGCTCCAAGGATCAGGCCCGCCTAACCCCCTTGTATTGTTGCTGTATTGTCTCCCGTTATATTGTAAAGCGCTGAGAAAAACTGTTGGCGCTATACAAATCCTGTATAATAATAATTTTTTCTTTTTTTTTTGCACATCACACCAGTGCTGTAGGAAGTTGTTTTCAATGTGCCCTACCCGTGACGTTGATTCAGTGCAGAAAAACTCAGGTCACTGCAGTACGTGTCAACAAGCCCTAATTGTGGAGTTCCAATGTAACCCTTTCTTTGTGCTTATTGTAATCACATTTATTGTAAATTGGGTCTGGATTATACTAGAACCGCTACATTGCTCTGGTGGGTTCAGCATGCTACAGCTTGGGAGATCCATATGAAGTTCTAGCATATATTACTGTAGGTACCCTTTGGTGTCATAATGCTAGATTCTCCATATTTGCATCTGTAATGTTATGGTAATGGATAACCAGACCTAAAGTTCTAATACTTATCAATTGCAAAGCAACATCCTGTCTTGCATGGGAACATGATGGAAATGTGATTTGGTGGTGACAGTCTTGACAATGACCCTTTTATAGATTCTTTGTGGATTGTCTAGTGAAGCTTGCAGACACACAGTTTTTCCTATTTATAGTCCACAAGCTTTTTGTGATCCTTAAAAATCTTTTTCTTACTAAAGCAATGCACTTGGTGATTGTGAAATGCTTTTCTTTACTGAATGGTCTGCTTCCTGTAGCCTTCCTCACCACTTCATGAAACAATCAAGAGGGAAGCCAGGCACAGGGTCTGCAGGATTTTTTTTTTTTTTTTTTTTTTTACAAATCTTGGATGGCTTGAACTAATATTGCGAAATATAGATTAGGTACACAAATCCTCCAGTGAACCCTATCAAATGAGCTCAGTAACTTAAATGTGTCCTAAAGAAACCTTCACAGTAGTGGATGCTTCTCTTTTTTGCTTCATTTGGTAATGTTTTTGCAGTGGACAATGAACTGTGACAAAACCACTGCATTAAGTGACAATCCGTGTCAATGTGCAAATAAACAAACTCCTTAAATTTTGAAAATCTAAATCCTGTATATAACTATAAACAAATACATATATGAATAAATATACAGCTGCTCTACCCTAAAATAGAGTATTCTAAAAATCCCCTTATGTGAATTAATACAACAATAGGCAGTACTGCTACCATGGTAACAACACTTTTTTTAAGCACTTTATGGACTTTTGATTATTGTTAATGTTATTATTATATCACATTGTATGGTAACAGAGCTGCCTATTTTTGTGGTAATGTTTTTGCAATGTTATGTGTTCTGATATGTGATTTTCCTATTTCTTTGAAAATTTTTTGCCTTTTGATTTGCCTTGCCTCCCCCCCCCCCCCCCCCCCCCCCCCCCCATCAGAGCACACTGATCAGCACTGCAACCATTGGCTGCATACGCTGGTCGAATGTTGGTTTTCCAACAGGACCGTTTGTTCAACAGAAGCTGATTGGTAAATTGACTTTTGTCAGACAGGGCTACGCACAGATCGAAAGATTCAATACATGTATACCAGCTTTGTTTTTTTTTTTTTTGTATCGATTTTAATTACATTGACTGCAACTGTCACAGTTTAGATTGGGGTGGGGCTACCTGAAAGAATGACACCAACAGTTTGCCATTTAGTGCAGTCCCTGTCCTTGCATAAGCCTACTGTACGTTATGACTCTACAATACTAATAGCTCACTGGGCCTTACTTAAGTTGGCCTTAAGGCCTCATTCATACTTGCAAATTGGACCATTTGTGATTTACCAAAGGGAGACTCGGCAAGGTCAGAGTCCCTAATAATAGCTGCAGAAGGGAAGCCCCATTGAAACCAAAGGGAGACCGACAGCTGTCAGAATACCTGAATAGTGACTGTATCTGATTTGGCCGACAGGACAACCTAATGCTAAAATTTCGCTTGATGTATGGCCAGTTTAAGTCACTGAATAATTATTCCACCACTTTTTATTTTTGGATTGTGAAATGAGCAGTCTCCTGTGTTAAGGTACGCAACAACTGTAATAAATTAAACAAGAGAATTGCCGTAGGTTTTGGATTTTCAACAGTTGTAACAATTTTTTGCCTAGCACTTTTTTTGTTGTTTTTATAATTGGAGACTTACCTGTGCATAACTGGTCAAACTGAGTAGCTGGTGATAATCCTACTCAAGAATCTCAAGCTTGCAAGGCAGGATTAATCAGCATGACTATATTGGCTAGACCTTCTTTTTTTTAAACAAAGAGACCACGGCTATTTACAGTATTTTTTTTTTTTTTCTCTCAGACGGGAATCACTGTATAAAAATCTGCACTGAACTGATGACTGCATCATCTCAGTGTGCATGTCACACAGAAAATACTCAATCTTGTCCAGCTCCACTGAGCTCACAAATCTTTTCTTTGGCATTTACTAAAAAAGGATAGATGGTTGCTTAAAACCCCTTTGACCTGGCCTGCGGAGAAGTATAAAGCAGTTATTGCTTGGCATGTTAGTTTGCTTGTGTATTTAAATTTTATTTATTTTTTGTTCGGGACACAAATAGGCACTAGAAAGAGAACCCCCAGGTCTCTAGATCATCATCTTTTTATCAGGTATGGAAAATATATAATTTCTGTAGCCAGTAGTATTGTTTTACATAACAATGATTAAAGGATAAGCTAATCTCTTGGAATGTGTTACATTTTCCACCCTGAACGAGTGAAATTTCATATTTAGGGTGAAACATGCATCATGCTCCAGCTTCTGCTGCCAGTTCCTTCAATCAGTTTTCTGTGAATGCATACAGTTAGGTCCATATATATTTAGACACAGGCACAATTTCAGTTTTTTTCAGGTATTTACCAAAACACGTTCAAGCTATAGTTATGTAATGAATATGGGCTGAAAGTGCACACTCTCAGGTTTAATTTGAGGGTATGTACATCCAAATTGGAGGAAGGGTTTAGGAATTACAGCTCTTTAAGAATAGCCATCCCCCCTTTTTCAAGGGACCAAAAGTAATTGGACAATTGAATATAATCATAAATGTTAATTTTTAATATTTTGTTGAGAATCCTTTACTGGCAATGACTGTCTGAAGTCTGGAACCCATGGACATTACCAAAGACTGGGTTTCCTCTTTTCTGATGTTTTGCCAGGCTCTAACTGCAGCTGTCTTCAGTTCTTTGTTTGTGGGTCTTTCTGCCTTTAGTCTTGTCTTCAGCAAGTGAAATACATGCTCAATTGGGTTGAGATCAGGTGATTGACCCAGCCATTGTGGAATATTCCACTTCTTTTCCTTCAAAAGCTCCTGGGTTGCTTTTGCAGTGTGTTTTTGGATCATTGTCCATCTGTACTGTGAAGCGCTGTCCAATCAACTTTGCTGCATTTGGCTGAATCTGGGCTGACAGTATATCTCTAAACACTGCAGAATTCATCCGGCTGCTTCTGTCTTCTATCAAATCATCAATAAACACCAATGACCCAGTGCCACTGGAAGCCATGCATGCCCATGCCATCACACTGCCTTCACCATGTTTTACAGATGAATGTTGTGTGCTTTGTATCATGAGCTGTTCCAAGCCTTCTCCACACTTTTTTCTTCCAGTCATTCTGGTACAGATTAATCTTGGTTTCATCCGTCCAAGGAATGCTTTTCCTGAACTGGTCTGGCTTTTTAGATGTTTTTTGGCAAAGCCTAATCTGGCTTTTCTTCAGGCTTATGAATGGTCTGCACCTCTGTATTTGCTCTTGTGAAGTCTTCTCTTGATTGTAGACTTTGACAATGA